AAAAAAGGCTGAGTGCCTGAGGCCTGAACGGTGAGTCCCTGAGTCCCTGAGTCCCTGAGGCCAAAGGCCAAGGGGTCCTTTGCTGTGATATTTGGCAAAAAGCCATATTTTTGCTGGCAAATTATGGGAACGAGATAAAGCTGCAACGAAACTTCTATTTTTGCAAAGGAAATTTCGAATGGACGACATTCTTGCTGCCAAACTTCGAAACAGCAATATTTTTGACACCGCCATCTTTGGCGATTTTTCATTTTTGTTTGGCATAGCCAAATGCCCTGAAAATTTTCAGACCTGTACTTCACATAATAGAAAACTCATTTAAAAAAATCCCAAAAATAATAAAATGTTTTCGGCCCCGAAATGATGTGAAAACAAAAAGTAAAATGTGAAAAAAAAAAAACAAAACAGACCTAGCACCTTTTGACGCCTCCATCTTTGGCGTTTTTTAATTTTTTGTTGGCTTGGAAAAATGACTTCAAATTTTGTAGGCATGCACCTCACATCATAAAGAACTCACAAAAGAAAATTCATAAAAAAGAAGTATTTTTAGGTCTCGTCAAACAGAGCTGCCCGGTAAACCGTAGGCAGAGAGGGATTCGGGGACAACCAGATCCGCACGGGCCCAGCCTCCCGGTTGGACCAGAGGTTGTTATTTTAGGTGGATGTCAGTTTTGGAGGGTTGAGGGAGGGGGGGGGGGGGGGGGAAGGGCCCTAAAGGGGTTTAAAAGGGGTTGATTGGGGGGATATTTGGTAGGAAGAGCCCAGGCCGAAACCTTTCGGTTTTGGCCGCCCAAAGTTCGGCCGTTTGGTACTACCGGCCCAAATAACTTTCCCCTGGGTGAAAGGCGCCTTCAGGCCATGGCCACCTCTCCCTGGGCCTTTTTTTCCCGGTTCAAGACTTTGGCGCAATTTCTGCGCCAGATTCATGAACTGGTAGGGCCCTTCTTTTTCATAATCGCGTACGTGGGCCTCATTCGATACTTCTCATTCGATACTTCAGTTACCACGGTCGGTCTCTTTTACATCAAAATGAATCTGGCGCTGTTTATGCGCCGGATTCATGATCCGGTATGGCCCTTGGAGCGACGCGTGGGCCTGTAGTACCCCACATGCAAGTCAGTGGGCCGGTAGTACCAAACGGCTAAACTTTGGGTGCCCAAAACCGAAAAGGTTTTGGCATGGGCACCTTCTACCGATTATCCCAAGGGTGTAAGTTACTTTTCCTTCCTTTTTCTTTTTTCTTTTTTCAATTATGTGAAGAATTTGGAAGTGACCCTCTGTGAAAAGTTGTTTGGTTTGCTATTCTGCGCTACTTTTTTTTTTTTTTTTTTTTTTTTTTTTTTCGGGGGGGGTGCGGGATTTGTTCCAGGACCCCGCCCGACCAAGTTGCCCGGCGGGTCGTCCCATGCAGGTTCCGTGCCAGGTTTGGGGACCCCGGCGGCACGGCTGGTGGGCCAGTTAAAGAACCCAAAAGGATGCAGTGTGGTGAAGAGGAGTTGCAATGTCATTGCACGCCAGTTCGAAGCAGGTGGTCGGACTGGCCACCACTAAGTGGGCAAGGGCGTCCTCACACAAGTCTATAGGGGTATAATAATAGGACCACTGGTTCTGAGCGTGCTGGCTTGGGCAGCTAGCTGTGTGCTGCTGGTTCTCAGGCTCCCAGATCAGGCAGGTAGGTTTGTGCTGACGGTTCAGAGGTTGGAATTTTTTATTTTTTTTCTAGGCATAGCTTGGCATATCCTCTGTGTGTAATTGTTTTTTTTTTCTTCCCAAATCAACATCAACTTCGAGTACAGAACATATGATGATATATGGAAACGTCGACATGCATTCATTCATGCTGCAGATACTGCAATGGATTGAGGGTTTTGACACACCAGTCCTGACACTCCATGCTTTCAGCGATACCATCACGTAATTGTTCACTTCCGACATTGTCCACTACATGGAGACCAAGATTCGGGTAACCATTGATGTTAGGAGAAAACGAAGACAGCTTGCACGCCATCACAGCAATCGCAGTTCACCTGCAAGTTAACGAAAGATGTGCACAGCCCCGACCCCATTACACCCCACAACGAACCGCCATAGCGGGGAGAGCAGCATTACCATAGTGACCTTGCGCGCACAGAAAAATTGCAAAATCCAAGTGTGTGGCCCTACGGCGACAGCCACAAAGCTGTAACATTTAACTTCTCCTCATAACACTGTTGAAAATACTATGCTCTACTAGGGAAATAACTATCTGAGCAGTAAAGTACACGTCAAGATCGCTTTTGCCAAATCCACATGAAAATCCAAGCATGCAGAAATCTGTCGAATCAACTATCCAAAACTGGCAGAGCATGGCGGGCACACCAGCATCATTGACGACCTGCACGGACATGCGCCCCCACATGCACACAAAGGGCGTCTCTCAGTCGATGTCCAGCTCTCCGAGCACCCTCCACCGTCAGCTCTTCGGGAGGGGGTGGGATCAGGGCATCCTCTTCGTCGTCTTCGTCCTCATCGTCACGCCGGAGCAGCTCGGGGTCCGGTTCCACGCCGAACCGGATGAGGAGGTTGTGGATTATACAAATCGCCTGGAACTGCAGCGACAGCAGTGCTATGTTGGGCTTGTGAGTGCGCAAGAACAATCTCCACATGCATTTCAGTCGCCCGAACGCCCGCTCTACACATCCTCTGCAAGTCCTTTGTGTGTCGTCAAACAAATCGGTATCTTCGCCCACCCTGTGCCGCCAACAATATGGAACCACTAGCCAAGGGAGGCTGGGGTACCCGTTGTCACCGAGAAGGTAACCGCGTGTGGTGACCCCTCCGGGAAGCGGGAGCGGATCTTGACGGAACAGCCTGCCAGACTCGGCTCGATGGAAGAGGGATGAGTGGTGAAGCACACAGGCATCATGCACGCAACCCGGCCAGCCGACATTGACATCATACACACGAAGGTCTGCGCCGGCAACAACCTGGGCGACAATGGAATAACTCTTATAACGGTTGCAGTACGGTTGAGCCATCTCTCTGGCAGGCTTGTCGATGTAGATGTGTGTACAATCAATAGCTCCATAACAGTGAGGGAATCCCTTGTCCCTGAACCTCTCTAATGCTTCTACCAACCTCTGACCCGTGGGGAATGTGACTTCGTCAGGATACGCTCTAAGTAACGCATTAGAGACATCCTGGATAGCCACACGACCCGTCTCACGCCCGAGCTGGGACGATGTAGCCAAATGTTCGAAAGTTTCTCCAGTCGCCCAGCGATACAATGCATATGCGACCAGCTGTTCCAGCTGCTTTGGAGCACGACACTTGGTGCACATCCTGTGTAGATGTACGCGAACATTCGCCACAATGCCACGGAAGACGTCCTCCCCCATACGGATGTTGTCGTGGTAATAGTCGCCACGCGCTGTGTCCACCCTTGTCATGTTCTTCCATGCCCCCCCGGCTCTGGGCTTAACCCACCAACGCGGTGCAAGACGAGGGAGGATGCCGGCAGCCATGATGACAGCTGTAAGGAAACCAGCGAAGTTCAGGACCCCAGGCGCAGGGTAGCCGTACTCTTCCCTGAGCTTGTAGTGAAGGAGTGCGCAGACTGTCCGCACGACCACCTCCGTCTCTTGCTGATGCTGTGTAATGGCAGCAGTGACAGCTGCCGTGGTCAGAGCACAACACCTCCTCCATCGCCGCATCTCTTGTGCACGGGCTGCGGGGTCCATCTGCAGGACTCTTCGATGTGGACTTCTTATCCATGGACTTCTTCTCCGAAGAAGAGGGGGGCGGCGACAGAACCCCACCTGGAGCGGGAACTTCGAAATGAAATTCTCCAGAAAAAAAAAAAAAAAAGCTCTCTCTCTCTCTCTCTCTCTCTCTCTCTCTCTCTCTCTCTCTCTCTCTCTCTCCCCCCCCCCTCTCTCTCTCTCTCTCTCACACACACACACACACACAGACACACACACACACACACACACACACACACACACACACACACACACCCGCCCGCCGGCAAGGCGGATTCCGACTTGATGCGCGCGCCGCCAAATGACGCTCTCATTTGGAAGGCCGATCCCACATATCAAGCGTCAGAGAATCCAACGACGACGATGGCAGGGCAGGGATCCCATTTGCCCGATCGGTGCTCTCTCCCTCTCTCTCTCTCTCTCTCTCTCTCTCTCTCTCTCTCTCTCTCTCTCTCTCTCTCTCTCNTCTCTCTCTCTCTCTCTCTCTCTCTCTCTCTCTCTCTCTCTCTCTCACACACACACACACACACACACACACACACACACACACACACACACCTTAAGTATATCTTTCTATCTATCTATCACACCCACGATACACATATCTATGTAGCTAGATCGACGATGGAGTTGGGATACACACACACGAGCTCCGAACAGAGCGGGTTGCGCAGCGGGCGGGGTACACCGCAGTGTGCCGGTGAAGTAGTGGCCAGTGGGAAGGAAAGTGGCTGCACCCGCATCATGGAACGGAGTGGCTATGGCGGATGAGGGGCCGTTTCACGAAAGGCGGGGTGGTGGGCAGCACTGCGGGGCATAGAGGCGACGGTGCAGCGGGGACGGTTGAGGTGGTTCTCCGCGGACAATGGCAGCTACCTCCCGCGAGATGCACGTCCCTGCTGGTTGGACCCGGTCCATCCCCATGGCCTTGAAAATAGCGGAATGCATCTGGTCGGCGGCGCGACAGCGGAGAATCTCATCCCCTGAACCGCTTTGAAGTGGTACACTGCAACAGCGCGGCCTACACCGCCGCCGCGCCCCCCCCTCCCCCTCCCCCCGCCCCACACACAACAGAAAGGAAGTCCTGCGAGAACTGAAATAGAACGGCCATTCCGATTTGGCAGAGGCCAGATCACTTTCAGGATTCCCGCCAAAAAAAATTGGGAGCAGCATGTCCCACTACGCTTCTGGCTTGGACAGCGTCATCGCTCCACTACTGTCCACTATACGTGCGAGTTTTCGAGAAGATCTGCTCAATTGTACAGTGGACAGTAAGTGGAGCGATGTCGCATTTTCTTTTTTCTTTTTTTTCTTTTTTTTTCTTTTCTTACAACGGCCGGGTTAAGGGCCTCGCCACACCACTCTTGAAACGGGGAAATTTTTCAAGAGCTGTCAGACGTTCTCAAGAGTTGGGTCTGCAAGAGTTTTCGGCCCCTCACCACACAGCACTCGCAAAAGGGCAATGGTGTTAGACAGAGGATGAAAAACGACAGTCATACAGCTTTGTTTTTTTCGAATGGAGTCAGGATAAGGGCCTGACAACTCTTGAAAAACGACAGTCATACAGCTTTGTTTTTTTTCGAATGGAGTCAGGATAACGGCCTGACAACTCTTGAAAATCGAAAGTCCCTCAAGGGTTAGGGCAAGGACGCTCAAGGACGCTTGGAAACGCATGAGTTGCAGGCTGGGGTTTCCCATCTTTCAAGAGCTGCTCTTGAAACGGTTTCAAGAGCCACTCTGACAGCTCTTGACTGCCCCAAGTGTCAAGAGGCTGTGTGGCGATGCAGCAATTCTTGAAAAAGAGTTTTCAAGAGTGGTGTGGCGAGGCCCTAACTCATTACCCGCGGAATAATGTGCATAGCGAGGCCCTAACTCATTACCCGCGGAATAATGTGCATACTTTAACCAGTTGCAGTCCTTGGGTTTAACAAAGACATTGATGTCGCATTTTCCACTGTCCGCTGTACAATTTTTCGCTCTGACAACGGTCCAAGAAATGTCCTAAAAATTGTACAGTGGACAGTAGTGGAGAGAGACCCTTAGGGCCTCGCCACACCAATGTCGAAACATCACGAAATTCGACATATGTCAGGAGATTTTCGACATTCTCTCTTTCGACAGAAAACCCCTCTTCGCCACACAGCATGTAGAAGTGAAGAACTCACAAGTCCTGTGCACAAAAGAGACAAACTGGGGTGAAGATAGGACAAGCATTGGTGCCTTCTCTTTTTCGACATTCGGGCAAGAATTTGACATCCCATCCGAGGACTGTTGAAAATGTGCAAGTTGCAGGCTGGGAAACGAGCCCGTCTCGAGAGGAGGTGTCGAAACCCTTTCCCTGACAGATCCTGATTTTTTTTTGCATCTCAGATTTGGACATGCTGTGTGGCGAGGAGAAAATGTCGAAAATTCAGTTTTCGACCTTGGTGTGGCGAGGCCCTTACTGTCCGCTGTCCACCTCTCAAATTCGTGGCTTCACTACCAGACACAGTGATAGCATTACAAGACAGGACGTCCATAGGGTTTTGTCCGCCCAAACTCCAGGTGCACTCTCCAAATTCGGGTCCTCACGGTGAGTCCCTTGAAGGACTTTCCGCGTAACGAATTTTGCAGGCTGGGAGCTGTACATTCACGGACAGTAGATTTTCGACGGGGTTTCTAAAAACTGTCCAAGCCATTTTGCACATGTACAGTGGACAGTAAGTGGAGCGAAGTACTGTCCGTTTTTGTACAGTGGACAGTAGTGGAGTGAGACCCTATGCCCTTATATTCGTCTTCCTTTTACCCCTTCTATGAGAAAGTAGGGCGCGGTTAGCGTTTGAATTTTTTTTTTTTTTTTTTTTAATTTGGACCATTTCTCGATTTATGCGTGTCATCCTTGCGCAGGGGCCATGCTAACCTTCCTATCGTTCCAATTTTAATGGATGTCCCGAAGGAGAGGGGTTTGAGTTTGGAAAAGGCACTTGAGGCAAAACGGTGGATAATGCTGAATGTGGGCCTCGCCACACTACTCTCTAAATGTGAAAAAAACAAAAATGTGGCGGCCAACACTACAGGTTCTTCTAGACTTCCTCCCTAGATGTGAACACTCATTTACCTATCAACACTGATTGGACTGTGGCCTAACAGCGGCCTGAAGTACAAAACAAGTGCCAAAGGAGCCTATTACAGCGGCTCCTGTAACATCATCGATCTTTCAGTAACCAGTCGGCATAAATCAAGGTCCCTTGAGGAGATATTGAAGCGCAGCAACTGTTGCAGGCCCAGGTTTTGGAAAACCAGTGCCGGTTCTTCAGGGACTGTGGGCGGGGAGATAGCCAGTCAATCCGTTTACATTGCCTGATCAGTGCCTGGATAGTTGAAACCTGGCCTTGGAAGGAAAGCTCTTCCTGCTGGAAAATAGCCTTCTTGCAGGCCTTCCACAGGACCTCCATAATTACACCTCTGCAGGTCCATGCCATGAAAGGCCATCCTGAGGATAGATCACAATGTTCTTTCGTCAACCCGTAGAGGGACCACTCCTGGGTCCAAAGAAAGTTACCGTCCGCAATAGTCCTCCATCTGGTTCTCCACCACTCCCATATTCGGGCTGAAAAGGGGCAGTATAGCCAAATATGGGAAGCAGTTTCCCAGCCCCACCTGCAGCGTACACACTGTTTGGATATGTCCATCCCTTTAGCAGTGAGCCATACTGCTGAAGGGGTAACCAATAGGAGTTGTAGCCAAACGAGGCTGGCTTGCTTTTGAGAAACCATGGTTCTTAGGGCTTTCTAGTGTCCAAACAGGTAGAGGTTGCCCAATACAAAGCCTGCTTCTTTAGATAACCTCTCTGAGGCTGTTACTACTGGCTGTTTTTTAACAGCGGATCTTAAACCACCAGTAGCTGGCCCAGCTATCGAGTCCGAGCCTCGGCCGACCGGTACGCCGATCCGTGCCGAGGATCGGACTACCGGGCGCAGGCATCCCGAACGTCGGAGTGAAAGAACGGGAAAATAAAAACCAAAAAAAAAAACAAAAAAAAAAAACGAGAAAAAAAAACGAGAAAAAGTATGGCAGTGTATATTCCCACGCTATAGCGCCAGATTCATTCGATTTCGCACATCCTATGGAGGGCGCAGTACCATGAGGCCAGCCGCGAAGAGAGAGAGAGAGAGAGAGAGAGAGAGAGAGAGAGAGAGAGAGAGGCGGCGACCTGGACGGAGGGTCGCGGCGAACTCGCCGCCTCTCTCTCTCTCTCTCTCGCACGTGCCCGTGGGCGCGACTTCAACTTTTTTCCCGTTCGTTTTTTTTTTTCGTTTTTGTGTATTTGTGTTTTTTTTTCCCTCCTTTCTTTTTTTTTGTTTTCTGAAGTGTGTCTAGGGAAGCAGAGCCCGGCCTTCGCGCAGCGACCGGGCCTTCCCTTGGCCGACCCCCCTAGGGCTGCGGCGCGTATAGGGGAGTGCCCGCGGCCGATAGCTGAGCGTGGTACTGGTGGTCAGAGATTGAAACTAAGGGTGTCAGAGATTGTCGCCCAGTAATCCCTCGCCAGCCATATAACAGTGGTTCCACCTGAAGTCTCTCTGCATTATCCGTCCACAAGGTGGTCACTGTTCCTTTCTTTGCTGTACTCTGCCACACTCTGCTAGTCTTTTTATAGGTCTAGGTTGCTCCTTTATTTGGATTGCTAAGTTAGCATAGTTAACTCATGGATTGTAGTTTAGACGAGGAGTATAGGGTCTCCTTAGACGCTCCTAAAAGTTCATGTTTTTAGGATTGCGTCTTGGTTGCACGCAATCCTAAATTGGACGCGGGAAACAAAAATGTGAAAACGGCTTTAGGACGAGTCCTAAAAGATCCAGGATTCCCCAGCCAAAATCGTCCTAAATTCTCCAGTAGCCCCCAACCCACTG